TAAATCTCTAATGACAGACATTACTCATACACCATGTACCACAAAAGCAAGTCGAGGGGGTTCCTTCACCCTTCTTGTAATGTTCTGTATCCTGTCTGCTTAGGATAACAACACTCTGGAGCCAGACTGCCATCCCTCACACTGGACTGGAGCGAGCTGCGAGGACAAAAGAACAAAAACCAACACATGAAACAAACTGTACATTTTTTAAGTGTAAGAGAACAAACTGGAATTTGTAAATATTATGTTTGTCGTTTGGTTTGAGTGATTGGCCGGATATTTTCTTTGTGACAACAGGTGCAAGTTTAGATGACTCACATGCGTATGTTTGATTCTACTTTATTTCCTACATCTCAAGAGCAAATTCCAATAAGTTATGGGCACATGAATACATCTGTTAACATACAGGAATAATTTTGAGGGGGAAAAAAACTCACAGCAAGGTTGAGGTCAACAAAAACACGGAAAGGAATGCTGACGGCTCAGGTTAGCCTTGATATTGTGGTGATAAAAATGCCCTTACTGCAAATAGGGCTGCATATATGGCACAAAGGCAGCTTTTGAGTGAAATGAGTCCTTTCATTGTTTAAAAAGCCAAAGAACAGCTGCAGGGAATGGATGAGGGAAGGGAAAATAGGGATGAATCAAAAAATGAGGCAGATAAATGAGATCAGGCAGATGTTTCAAATGTGCTCAAAACAAACAACAAATCAAGGAATTTCTTGTGATGCTGTTGGACTTAATTGTTAGTGTCTCACATTGTCTTGAGCATTGTCATACAGTATAACCTGTAATTGGGAGGTTGTGAAATCCTTTGTACTCTTTTGGTCTTCAGACTCTAACCATGTTTGTGGTTTTCCTACATTTTGCAGTTTTGTCTGCACATTCTGTTTATGGGATTATTGACCCAGCTCTATAATGTGAGTTTGACTTGCCCACACTGACAAAAACAGCACTGCAAAGACAGTTTTTTTGTTTGTTTGTTTGTTTGTTTGTTTGTTTGAAACTATGGTTTGGACAGCCAGCAGAAAATGGAAGCACACTCACCAAGTTTAAATGTTTACACTACAGTTTTGATGTTGGCTTAAAGTAAGAGGAAAAAATAAGAAAAATATAAAGCATCACAAGGACCCAAAAATCTTCTTATTACAACATGTATTGCTGGGATGGTAAAGTGAAGGCTTGCACCTGTTTGTCTGTTTCATTTAGTCAGATTCAGTAACCTGCTTGAAGCTCAAGATACTGTGAGAGAGCATTATGACCAGGAGGGGTTGAAAGAATTAAAGTTAATATTTCTATTTCAAATAGAGGCTATTACACACTGTATGTTGTGTATCTGAACTGGAAAACATTAAAAGACATTCTTAAACAAAGGCTTTGCCGTTTTTGTCAAAGAGATGCAGTATTAAAGCTATGTTACTTTTGCACACAACAGAAGGACACAACATGTGGGTACACACAAACCACAGCAGCTTTAAGACTTTGTTATGGCTAACCGGTTAGCGTTCAGTTGCTTATTTACACAACCAGCAGATACAAAGCAACTTTAACTTTAATTCTGTGTGTTTCTGGCCACCTTTTAGGTCTGGTTTGGTCTCCACCTATTCCTGAGAAAAAATACCTCTTTAGTTAGCTGCTGTGTTTGACTTGTTTTACTAGCTAGCGAGCTTCATTGCTAACTTTGTGTATTTGCTTTTTTGAATTGTAAAGTAGGTATAGCAAATGTTTTGCTCCTAATTGCGGCCCATAGCTGCTGGAAACAGTTGAAAATGGAGAGCCTGAATCAAACAGTACATTTGTGGGACATACATTTTAAAGAGGCTACAAGCTTTGTAGAGTTAGTTGGTTGGTTGGTTGGTTGGGTCTGTCACTGTGAGCGACTCCCAAATGAATCTCACATCCAGCCATTTAATTCAATATTTAAAATACTGATTGTTGGAGCTTGAGAGAAGTGGGGATGATTGTTGGTTTTTCTTTTTTTTTTAAGCAAGAAGGAAATGATTGTTCAGAGAGAGAACGGTTAACACCAAAAAGACACACTAAGATTGACACGGTTATCCCTTATTACTAGTCTTTACCAGTGTAACTGTCTTTATTGCTGTAGTAGTGGGTAAGGCTTTGAAGACATCATCATTTTTTGTTTTGTCAGTTTGGTTGTTGTCTAGCATATAGCTAGCTTTCACTATAAATGTATCCTCCTAATGTGCAGTTTCCCATGATTTCATTTTCCAAGCCACACAAACTGAGTTCTGACTTTCATTCAATGAGGTCTTTGAATTTCAAAGCCTACAATAACTTGGCAGCACCAGTTTGATGAACCGTCCTCTGATCTGTGTTTATTCAGCTGCTGTACACAAATCAATATTATAGCAAATATACTGGAACAGACTAATGCACTGGTGCTGTTGGAGAAAGTGTGGCATGGCTTATCATTCATTCAAGCCCTGATGTGGAAATAAGTGACTATCTTTGTTTGCACATTTATTTCAGGGTTGTAGTGGTGAATAAGCACTTTTAGACTATGTTGCACCGGTTTTCACCTCTCCAAAGTCACTCTAATCAGTCATTTTTTTCCCCCAATAACATTCTTGGTATTGTAAATATCACAGGTAAACTAAAATAATTACTTTTGGAAAACAATAAAGAGAGAGCCCTGCCTGCAGCTTTGTTGCAAGCATTTTTTAAAGTTTTTTTTGTTGATGTTTAAGAAGAGAACAGAGTGAGAGGAAAAAGTCAAATATTGCATTGCACAAGTGAAGAATGTTTAATAACTACGCCATAGCCAGAGGCCTTATGTTTTCAGGTTGTCCATCCATACCATTCTCGTGAACGCGATATCTCAGAAATTTCTCAGAAAATTCTTCAAATTTGCCACAAAAGTCCACTTGGGCTCAAAGATGAACTAATTAGAATTTGGTGATTAAAGGTAAAAGGTCATGCTCATAAACGCGATATCTCAGGAACACCTGAAGGGAATTTCATTTCATCTGCCACAAACCTCCACTTGGACTCAAGGATTCACTGATGGGTTTGTTTTTGGTTGTCGAAGGTCAAGGTCATTGTGACGTTTTTTGCCATAACTCAAGAATTCATACACTAATTATGTCAAAATTGTCTAATATAAATGTCTAATATAATAAAATGACTAAGTGAAAAATTTTAGATCCATAAGGTCAAAGGTCAACTTCTCCGTCCCCTTGGACTCATGGATGAACTAATTAGAATTTGGTAGTCAAAGGTCAAGGTCACTGTGACATCATAATGTCCCGGAAAAAAACCTTTTTGGCCATTATTCAACACCATAACTGAGGAACAGAAGGGGAGATTGTGACCTGATTTCACAGTTGGTCGGACACTAAATAGATCACACTTTTGACTCCAAGGTCAAAGGTCATTGTGACCTCAAAATGTTCACTGGGAAGACACAATGAGCTAGCACAGTACGGGCTTTCCTCCATCTTATCCGTTCTCCCTTTCACTTCCTGCCTCATTCTGAATTTCAAGCGTCGTCACAATCACTTCAAACAACGTAATGGAGTGCTCCTAGCTAATCATGATCCTGCTAATGAGTGAGTTTTACCGACATTTCATAGAGAGGCTTCGCATCTAAAAATAAATAAAAAAACACCAGATACACTCTATAAGAATCCATCTTTACATAGTAATCAAGTACATGTGTACCTGTTTAACCAATACATTGATGATAATCCTTGATTAATCAGTTCAACAATGCAGATTCACTGGAATCATGTGATTTTTATAGTGATAATTTCCATTTATTTCTCCATGAATTCCATTATTCAATTCCTTCCAAGTATTCACTACATACAGTATATTATGAGTCTGGACAGACATGCATGTAGACTGCAACTTGCCTGGTTGACGGAAGCACACAACCCAGGGGCAGTAATTGTAGTCATATCTGGAATACTAAATCTTTACTTTTGGTTTAGAATATCTGGCATGAATTATTGCTGCAATAAAAAGCAAGTTATTCGACCCCAGTGGGTACTCTTATGCTTGATGTGCACTGTATTAATCAAAATCATCTTTATTATAACTTCCGCAGATTCATCGTAAATAGATTGCACAATTGTTGATATGACTAATGCCTATGGTAATGTCATAGCATTTTTCTTTTCGCACTCAATCCAATTACCACCGCAGATAATAATAACTCTGTTTATCCTGTAAGCACTGAGCACAGAAAATACTTCACCTCCCTCACTAGATGGCAGTGTGCAACTATAATGTATAGAAAAGGCCTGCTGCTTCAGAAATTTGGGTTAGGCAGTTTTTAATCCAAATTAACAAGCCTATTGAATTTTTTTTAAAACCTCCATTTTGGGAAGATGCCTGATAATGCTCTAACAGCTCAGAAAGCATCTCCCTCTCTAGAATTGCAAATAGAAACATCATTCTCAAAAACTTTAAAGACGACTTCAGCAACACATGAAACCAAAAACTACTTTTTAAATTATGAAAAGTCAAATATGCCTTTATGATGTGATATTCACAGAAGTAATATTTTGTTTAATTTTTCATTGGACACCCAGATATGTTTTCGTTGTCCTTTAAATAATACAGTTTAGATGCTAAGTAAGGGTTCTCAGATCCTTGGTTTATTGAAAACTTTTATAACTTTACAACAAAAACAGTTGTCCATGGATTTTTTATGCTATTCAAAAGGCTTTTATTACTTGTAGATTAACTAAATGATTAAAGACAATAAAACCTATCTAACAGCCATAACAGTCACATCCAATTTTTATAACTGACAAAACATTGAAACTCACATATGTCCAAAGGTATGACAAAAAGAAGCTATTTCTCAGCTTAAAGCTTAATGACTTCAGGGGACCTCGGCTTTAATAAAAGATGAGGACTGGTTGTTTTTCTGTCTTTTAGTCTCTAAGCACATTTCGAACTGCAAACTTTTAGTTCAGTATTTTACGCATTTAAGCGTTTTATTGTATAACTGATAACACATTCACAATATAGACAGGTAAATTAAGATATTTTATTAGATGAGCCAATTTACATAACACACCATACATCTGTAGGCCTATTATACTCACTCTCACAACAAGGTTGCTTTCCGATACAATAATCATGGTATTTGTTATTATATATTTTAAGAACAGACTCAATGAAAGAACACACTCATTTTTCAACTGAAGAAAGAGCAATTTAGTTTCTTTTTATAACTTTTCAAGGGTACAACAATAACTGAGCTGCAAGGGAAATTTTTACTTTAAAGTTAAAGGGTATTCTCACATTATAAGATTTTTTTCATTACTCTTGAGCACAAAAAGGCACAATTGTCTACCATTATGCATCTTAACTTTAAAGAAATCCAAGTGCACACAGAAGGGCTAAACTCAGAGAGCTTTCAGATAGTATGTTGGAGGTAAAGAGGAAGGGGTGAGGGAGAGATGCAGTTGTCATAAAAGATCTGAAGGTTCTGGTCAACATCCATATGATTTTTCAGAAAGTTCTCAAGTTCCTGGACCGTCAGCTCATGAACGCTGTTGCCCTCTTTGGCGTTTTTGGCGAAGGCTGCGTGGGACGGGAAGCGGATGCGAACATCGTGGGGGGCGTTGCGGTCGTATTCGGTGCAGCAGTATGCGGACCACACATCTTCGGGGATGGCCACGCGGTCCTGGTTGTTTCGACGGATCATGTTGCCTCTGGTGGTCACTCCGGTGACGATGTATGCCGTGCCGCGGCAGAAGTTGTTGAGGCGGACCCGGATCCGCTCCTCATACTCACGCCAAGGCCCGATATTGAACTCCCGTATCTCTGGGACCACGTTAGTGAGAGTGTATGTGGCAGCCCGGTCGTGTGGGGTGGACTGGTGCTGGTCCGGGTTCAGGTGACCTCTCTCATACAGGACCACATCAGAGTAGTCATCCAGGACTGCCTGGCTGTCCTCAAACTTCATGTGCAGGTAACCAGTAGGGAAGGGCAGCATGTTTCCATTTCCATCGACTTCAGCCAGCTGGGGAGACACAGAAGAGCACTTACTGTAGTTTTATGATATAGTGGGAAAAAATGCTCAGCCAGTCTATGAGGCTTCTTTTTTCTCACTCTAACCCTAACCCTAACCCTCTCTAAGAGGCTTCCTGTATGACATTTTATGGGTTACCTGGTTAAACGAATGAATGAACACACCTTTAAGTGTTTGTCATTTTTGAAAAACAAACTAGACCAAATACTCAAAGACAAGCCTCTGACCTGTGGCTCATACATCCATGGGTAGTCCACACGTCTGTCTCCCTCTGTCTTCTTGAAGGTATAAGCCGAGTAAACTGGAATCCTCTTTTGGGAGTCGTACAGGGTCACATAGCGAGGTTTGTCTGCATAACGTTGGCAGATCTTCTTCAGTTTGGTGCCGGTGAGCCCCCGCGGTGGTGTCCCCATATACAGGGAGTCCTTGCATCTCTCCACGTGATTAAAATCTTGAACAACCGTTGCTGACATTAGAGGCAAACAACAGATTATCAAAAGAGCAAAAACTGAAAGTGATAACATATTCATGGTCAGAAACGTCGCTTACTGTGGCCTCTGCAAAATAATGACAGAAGATGTCTGCAGTTATGATTTAAATGTTGTAAAGTTGATATGCAAAGCAAGTACAGTGTGACCAGAAGACAGGCCTCCTAACGCATGTGGGCGTGGTTGTACACATCATTACATTGCTCTAACCTGCAATTTTAAAATAATATTGAATAAAAAGATAGGTTTGTTGTCTTGAATATTAGTATAACTTATACTGACATGTCTGTTCCATTAGGTTCTTAATGAGGTTAGATACTGGATCATTAACTTCTGCAGGGGTGCTGTGCTGTATGTTGCATAGTATAAAAGTTTTTGTAATGTAATTATTCTACATATTTACCTTAGTACCACAAAGAATTCTTAACCATCACACCTATTCTGAATAACTACCGCTGTACTTTGACCTTGCAAGATCTCTTTTCTTCCAGTGATTTCAACATATTAGTTTCCTGCTTTAAAGGAAGACATTTTTTTCTGTTGCTATAAGTGAAATTCACTCTCATAGAAGCCTGATTTCTGCTGAGTGTGGTGACACACAGGATACTGCAGTAGGATATTCATAGACATGCTATCAATGTAGTGGTAAAATGCAAAAACTGTCTAATCTTTTCTCAGTGGTGAACAAAAGGCCTACAGTGACCAGTGTGGTTCAGAGGTACTATGCTACTCAGTGTGAATGGTTGATAAGCCACTGGGCAAAAGAGAGATTAAGCATGAAAGTTAAACTACGACATAGCAACAAAAAGCGTTTGTACACTTTACATTTACAGCTTTATAACAAGCAAGAATTATATACACACTTATTGTGAAGATTGTGATAAAAATGAAGAAAAAAAATAAGAAAGATAGCTTGTACTCCATAGAAAGTGAAGAAACTTAACATGCCATGAAGTAGAATGAGCATTTCATAGCAAATGGTTCAATGTTCTGCCAAAATGGGTGCTTGACCTATTTTGGCAGCTCCCGGTGTACAGAGCAATTAATCCATCTGAAACTCTCTTCCTGTTTCCAGTTTTTTTTTATCCTTAGCAGCTTGGACACATTATGTAAAATCTTTATTTTTATTCTAATACATTGACTACCCCTACTTGAACGACCAGTTTTTCTCTCTCCAGAACTTCAAGGGACAGTTTGTGTGGATGTTTTCCTGATTTTGCAAGTATCATTTGTCAACAACATGTCATGTGGCTTGGTGGTTGCATTGACAATCCAATAACAGAATGGTCACTGATTGATCATCAACCCAACCTGTTCTCACTCCCAAGTCCTAACATATGCATCAACCGCATGTCCTGCCAGTGTCCCTCATTGCACATGCTCTGAAGATGATCATCATCTCAATCGGGGGGGGGGGTGAGTGCATGTTAACTAGTTAGCATGCAAGCGGAGAAGTTGAAACACTTAGTTTACAGTAGTGGAAAATTGGTTGAAATAGTTAGCTGAAAGTAATGGAGAAACAGTTGAAATAGCTAAAAGTTATGGATATATGATTGAAAAAGCTAATTGTAAAGGAAAATGGTTCAAATCGTTAGCTAAAAGTAAAGGAGAAAAAATTGTTAGCTAAAAGTAAATGGTAATGGTCTGTACTTGTATAGCGGCTTTCTAGTCTTCTGACCAGTTAAAGCGCTATACGCTACATGTCACATTCACCCCATGCACACACACATTCACACAGTGATGGCAGTGGCTACCATGCAAGGTGCCAACTGCTCATCAGAAGTAGAAACTAATCATTCACGCTGCCAATCTGGATTTGGGTTCAGTATCTTGCCCAAGGACACTTTGACATGCAGACTGTAAGACCACCGACCTTCTGATTGGCAGATGACCCACTTTACCTCCAGAGCCACAGCCTCATAAAATGTTGAAACAGACAAATAGAATGGGGAAATAGCTGACAGTAATGGAGTAGTGTTAGGGTATGTGTGACAAAAAGAAAAGACTGGAAACCAGTGACCTGAATGTCTGAACTGTAAAGGAAATAAAAATGTGCTGCATATCAGTGGCTGGAGTTTCTGCTGCTGTCCTATACTGCCCTCTTCTCAAGTCTGTCTTATGCAAATTGGAACTGTTTGTCAGATTAGCTGGAGCAACAATCCTTCAGTGCCCTAATAAGTCAATTTGAGTGACTGAGTGTTGTTATTCATCGGGGGACCAGCTTGCCTCTCTGATCTAATCTTGAGTTATGACAATCATAACTTATGTAGCTGGGGCTGATGACTCAGTTATGTGAGCAGACATTTTTCAGCTGTCAGCATTTTTACCAATTAATATTATAAATTCAGACCAAGCTCAGACCCAGCTCATCTGCCCTCTGCTGCTTCATCTTCAGGAGAAGATGGGAGAGCACTTTACTGCCATAGAGTTTAATCTTAACAGTTCTTTAGTAGAAAATGTAACTAGTAGTCATGACTGTCCATACAGCAACATTTCTAAACATTATCAGTTTGAGTTATGGGGCAGCACTTTGGGGTAGCTTTTATGATTTTCAAATAAGTGATAAAAGTCATCTAAACATCTGTCTGTTTATTTGTTTGATTCTTAGGGGAATTAAAGATTTAAAGTAAATGTATGTGATGCTGAAATCCTTTACAAATATAAATCCCTCTAGAGTTCCATGTTTCTAAGACTGGCTTGGAAATGTGGTCAGTCATAGTAAAAACAATTCAGTTGAAAGACATGTAAGGCTGACCTGGAATAAGCCCATTACAGAAGTATGTGCCAGGCTGTTGAGATATTTAATGGCAAATTAAATAAATTTAATGACAAATTAAAGAAAGTAATTATTTATTGAGTACTAGGAGTGACTGCGTGATGCATGAGTAGGTAGTGATTCTAAAATATATTATAAATGCAGTATAACAATTTCATTTAATACTTTACAAATATTCTACACATTCTGTACTGTACACACACGCTTACTGTTTTGTTTATTTATTTTTAATGTTTTTTTAATATTTCTTCATTGTTTTTTTTAACACAAACACACATACGCTTTGATTACTTTACGCTTTAATTACTTGTTTAATGAAATGTATGGGGTTGATTGTTCTTATGTTGTATGTATGATGCTTTGGCAATGTTGTTGTTACACATTCATGCCAATAAAGCTAATTTGAATTTAATTGAATTACTGTACTCAACCAAACATGTCCTTGGCAGGCCTACCTCACGTTCTGCACGTGCATAAAATCCAAGATGTCATCATGCAATAATATATATTGCCCACTTGGAGGCAGTGTAAGCTTATTTGTTGTTTGGTCCCATTCCCTGCTCCATGATGATAACTGCCTAAAACCATATATTTTTTAAATTCAAGGACACAGCTGCGTTTGTAAGACTGAAAAGTGAAACAAACTGTATAATTGCCATTTTTTATTTGGAAAAAAATACTGATTTTAGTTAATTTAATCAGTTTGTTCAAATTTGATTGCTTGATGAGAGAGGCATTGTGTTATAATAATTTTTCTAATATGCAAATTAATGTACAAGGTACAAAGTCCAAGGTACAAGGTAGATTTATTTGTCACATTACAACAGTTTGTAAAGTGAATTTGAGTCTGCAACTCCCTTCTGCTATGTAGCAGAAAATATGCAGTAATATAAAAGTATGCCTAGGCACCTCACCTCACCTTACTGATATGAAGCTCAGGAGATGGGTACCAATGATCTTCTGAGCAATTTTAATCACCCGCTGAAAAGCCCTGTGGTCCTGGGCCGTGCACATCCCATGCCAGTTTGTGATGTTTCCAGTCAGGATGCTTTCTGTTGCTCCTCTGTAAAAATTGACAAGAACTTGGCACGGGACTTTGGGCTTCTTAAGCTTCCTTAAGAAATACAGGCGTTTTTGAGCTTTCTTCACTAGCATCGAGATGTGAGATGACCATGTCAGGTTCTCTGTGCTGCTGATTCCCAGGAACCTGAAACTGTTCACCTGCTCCACCTCAGCTCCACTGATGTAGACAGGAGTGTGTGTCTTTATCTCCTTTTTCCTGAAATCAGCAATTTGTTCTTTATGTGCCGAAGAATCTGTTTCTCAAAGCAATTCATCAGAATAGGCGTGAGTGCCACAGAGCGGTAGTTGTTCAGACTAGAAACTGCAGACTTTTTAGGTACAGTGGCTGTCTTGAAGCAGGTGCACTGCAAAAACTAAAATCTTAGTAAGATTAATTATCTTAATTGAAGGCAAAATATACTTGTTTTTTGTCTGACAAGATATTTCTTCTAACCAGGTGGCTTTTATGTTAGAGAATTTCACTTGTTTCAAGATAAATTTGCTTATTTTAAGTAATATTTCCCCCATTTTAATACTTTTATTTCTTGTTTTTGAGAGCTCAGTTTTTGCAGTGTGGGAAACCCTCAATAAGAGATGGTGATATATTGAAAATGTCAGTAATAACATGAACTAGCTGATTGGCACAGGCTTTTAGTACACAGGCAAGAATGTTATCAGGCCCAGCTGATTTACTCATATTCACTCTCGGCAGGACTCTCCTCACATCTGCTGTGGATACTGACAGTGGCCATTGTTCTGGAGGTGGAGTAGACTTTACAGCTGACTCTTTGTTGAGGACATCAAAGCGAGCATAAAAGGTGTTTAGCTCATCTGGTAATGTGGCCTCACACAGGATGGTCGGAGCTCCTGCTTTTGTAGCCTGTGATGTTTTTGATGGCCTGCCACATATCTTTGTTGTAGTTGGTGTTGAGGTCTCTCTCCAGTCTGTGCTGATGCCTCCGCTTCGCCTTCTTACTGTATTTCAGTTTTGAAAACTGAAATACAATTCTGTTTCTTGTTACTCCACATGAACGATTTCATTAATATACGTAAAGTCGACTATATTAGGTTAGATCTTCCCATTTTTAGGGCTGGACTGTTCTCCTCCTAGTTTCCTAACTTTTTGCTTTCCTCTTCGGTCTTTTCTTGTGTCACCCAGTTTACCATAGGATTTGGTCAAAGCTTTATTGCGTCAGAATATTAGTTATTAGTTAAACAAAAAGTCACGTTTGTTAATCATTGTTGTTGTAATAGGCCAACTTAAATCATCATTAGTAGGCTATAGCATATATTTAGAAGCTCTTGGGCGACATTGTAAAACATTAGCTGTATCACTACTGTCATTTTATCCAGAGCATGACGGCTATTTTTATTTCTTTTTTTTTAATAGTAGGCTAACTGTCGAGACAGAATGGATGCTCCCTTCACTTGCAAACTACAAGATACAGTTTCTGCGCGTTCACTGAGCCACCAGGGGGCTCAATTTAGCAGAATATACTGCCTATGAGGCTGGCCCTACTTAGTTCTGCACCAAAGCCCGCTGATTGGTCCAAAAACCCACATGGGGCTGAGCTTTGACCAATAGAGTGCGGGCTGATCCGGCGCTGTTGCTAAGGCACTTCAGAAAGAAAAAAAAAAACTCTCTCAGCGGTCTGCTTCCACCATTTCACTCTCGCACTCCGGCTCCTCGTGAGCTCCTCTTCCGTCTCTGCCTCTCAGTGAGTACTCAGGACCGGCGGCCCTGCCTCTGCTCTTTAATGGTCGCTGGTGGGTGAAATGAGCAGAGGAGTGAGTGGAGGCTTTGCATGGTGAGCCACAAAGACTTGTAGGCCCTCCCTCGTGAACCCAGAGCTGTTAGCCCCACCTCCCTCGGTCGTCCTAGTCACTTGACATTTGAGCTCAGGCAACACTCGCAGCCTCTCTGTCACCATTCCACTCTGCCTCGCTTCCCAGTTTATCCCGAAAGACACCTGGGCAGACAGCTCCGCAAGGTCTAAGCGTTTCCCAACAGTGATGTGTGTTGTTTCTTCAAGCTCCTTCTTCTTTAATTAATTAAGTATTTTCTGGTATATTATTAGAAATGTGGCAATGAGGAAGGGGGCAGGAAATGTCACACTGCTGTCACAGTGGACAGATTAATGATGGCAGTCTGATCAAGTGCATGTGTATTTTTTGCACAAATATGTAAATCCATTATAACATTGCATTCAACGTAAAACAAGTGTCGCACATTGCAGATATTGTGGGGGAACAAGTATCCGCTCGAGAACTACTCATGTACAGCTACGTCTCGCACAAATATTGTACATATACACACACACAAACAGAGAGAGAGGAAGAGGGAAATAAAGTGCACCCTCCATGCCTCTGTCTGCTGTGTTTCCCCTCCTCCAGCCGAGTCGACTGCAAAACGTGAGCGATAAAAACATTCTCGCCCGCTCATAGGCTCCTGTCTCGTGATTGGCAGCTCGCTGACCCGCCTCGCCGGTCTCTGTACATGGATCGGTCTGCTACGAGAGCCCGAGCATCAGAGAGTGGAGTGGAAACAGGAAGAGGAGGAGAGGGGAAGAAAGGAGCCAGAGGAGAGAGGATCGGGTGAGACAAGGTGGCGAGGAGTGAAAGAGAGGAAAAGGGGAGCAGAGGGACGTGTGGACCGAACAGAACAAAGACCATAAAGGAGGTAAAAACGGGGGGCTACAGAGGAGCAGCTTGATGTGCTGTTTGCTTGTGGCTTAATGTAATTGTACTGCATGTATTGTCACAGTGTGGCAGAAGTGGGGGCTCCTGTTTCTTTTCTGTTCGTCAACTGTTTGTTTGTCCTTGTGCATTTGCCGTGTGTAATTGTTCTGAGCGATCTGTCTTGGCTGAACATACTGCAGTGTGTGTCTGCAGACTGTGCTGCACGTTCATGCATGAAGCTCTCTCTCTCTCTCACACACACACAGGCACAAACACACACAGAAACGTGCACACATGTAATGCTCACATGCAGACCGATGCAGACAGTGCAAAGGCAGAAATGTGAAATGATGAAGATAGGTAAGGGGAACTGATGTGGTTACACTTGTGGTCACATTTGTGCTCTGTGGAACGTTTAACTGTTGAATATCAGGCTGTGTATGTGTGTGTATGTGTGTGTGAGGTTTACAGTAGAAAGAAGCTACAGCCTTACCAAGTGTGATGATTAATCTTCATTTAGAGCAATGTCCAAACTGTGTCACTGACAGTACTTGGCTCCACTGAAAGTTCAGCTCAGTCTGTTAAACATTTCTCACACGGAGACCTTTTTGTCTTTATATATTTTTTTAGAAAATAATTGACTCAGACGTTAATTTCTAAGTTCTTTAAAATAGAATAACCAAAGGGTATGTAGGGTAACTGTCACCTGCATACAACATTCACCCAGTGCATGCTTTTTCAGTTGCTTTGATTGCCAGCGTGGGTAACCACCTGGACGTGCAATTCTAGGTTACCAATCCTCACACAAGCCAGCTGTCTGACACACACACACACACACACACACACACACACAAACACGTGCTTCCAGTGCCTTATTCAAACCTGTTAACCTGCTTCATTGTCTTTCTTCACGAAAAGCTGTACATTTTGCATTGTTTGCAAAAGACACGCCTCTATCCTGTTCTTGACCTTGCCTTGGTACATTCCAGCACCCCTTGGAGGGCTGTGCTTTATGGAGCATACACCGGTAGAAGCTGCTAGAAAGGGAGAAGGGGATATAGCAGAGTTAAGTGGGGCTGCAGGGATGTTATTTTTAGAAATGTGATTGATATTCGGCTCATACTGTACGCTCTTTCTCTGTGATCGCAATGCTATTTCCGGCCTGAATCCAATAAAATCACACATGTGCATGCATTCAGGGGTGGGCTGTCTGTCCAGGCTCTGTCCGTCTGTACATTGTCGCTGCTTACTTCCACTCCCATCTGTTCTGTTCATGTCTCTGCTCCTTGTATTTGCTAGCTTAGGAGCCACCAGAGACGGGCCTGGTCTGGTGCAGCACATCCTTCCTTTTATGGTATAGGATCAGTATCCTTCTAAGTCTCACACACACACATAAAGCCTCAGCAGGAGATGCACATCTGCAGTGGTTCACTGCAGCTAGCGAGCAGTTCCCGATAGTGTGAGATAGGCAAGGATGTGACAGACTGATGATTTGTCCAAATGAGGACACAAATTGGAGTGTGTTTGCAGAACTGCAGCGGTTCTTCACTCCTGTTTTTTATTCCACTGGATGAAGGTTGCACGTGAGAAGAGTGAACAGAGAAAAGATAGAAATGTAGAAGTATACATTAAATGCTATGGACTTCCTCCATTTCCTCCCTCTCTGTCTCTATGTCAAAATCACACACACACATGCAATCACTCCCCTCCTTGCTTGAGGCCTTGCTACCAGCTCTAGGACTAAATGATATCATCGGTTGCCACGGATACAAGGACACAGCGTGCAGAGAAAAGGGAGGGTGAGGCATAGGCAGAGCCATACACATAGCCTGAAGCAGAAAGGAAGAGGCTGGGATACTGGGTATTAAGACAGACAAGGAAACAAGTAGCCAGGATAGCAAAGGCAATGGGGCAGGGGCAGGCCCACAAAGAGGAAAGACAGGAGAATAGAAAACTTACCAGTCTGGCAAAGGTTACTTGCCCTCTTCTTCCTTTCCCCTCTTTCCTACATCTCATTTCATTCTCTGTCTTTGTCTGGAGAGCTGTTGCAGGAAATGAGCGCCAAGAATAAAAAGAAAGAGAATGGCAGCAATACCTAAGGGATGAATGAGAGATGCTGCCCTTGATTTGAAAAAAATAAAACTTTCCTGTCTTGTACATCTATGCACCAAGTCACTATGGTATTTCCTCACTCTACACTATGTTTGATTGCCAGCTAGTGGAGGATGAGCATGTCTATTTAAAGGGATCTGAGTCTGCATGGTTCTGCTGTCTTGCTAGACAGCATCATGTAGACCAGAGTCTGTCTCCCCCCTTTTCTCTCTCATTACTCCAGGCAAGGTAAAACCGGTTATAGGGATGCACATGCACGCATGCTCTTAGGTTTCAAATAAATGTCTGCAATTGACACTCAGCAATCAGGACTAGCGTGGTGAAATAAAAGGGCAGACAGCAGAGATGTGAAAGGATGCATTGCTTTCCCTCTGTGGTGACAAAGAGATGACCAGGGTTTCCTTTGTGAAGGAAGCAGACTGAGGAGTGCAGACAGTAGGTTTAACTTACCATCAGGTGTCAACTAATCAACCATCAGTATAACGAAATATTGTATTTGTAAAGCATAATATGTGCACAAATAGTTCATTATGCAAGTCATGACCAGAATTGTAATGCCTCAGTAGTAAAACCCTAATTTTATACAGCTGGCATTGGACAAAATACACTACTATACTGTATTGGTTCGATTGCACATTCTTGAGAGTTTACTGCAACTTAACCCCTTTTGCACATGACATCATTTGGCTGTGGAGCAAAAATTCTAGATGTGTGGAATTAACCCTGCACAGATGGGTTTAATACTGGAAGCACAGAGCCACTGTTGTGTAGAGAAAAATTTAAGCTGCTGTTGACTGACAGCTCCTCTTACAGCACTGTAACAAAAGTGTGCTCCAGTGTGCTACAGGGAGGGTCTACAGCAGATGCTGTCTGTGTAATGTTGCCCAAATACGGGTTAAAAGCACATTAAGGTGTCTTGTCAAAGAAACGGGGAACTTGCAACGCTGTGTCTAAAACTGTTTTAACGCTGCATAAACCTAGAAACACAGTTTACAAGTTGTCGGCATAAATTAAGCGCATAGTGAACGTATTCATCACAATTCAGCATTTCCAGCGATGGAACAGCAAGATAAATTGCCATTCTGAGACACAACTCAAACAGGCAAAAAGTCGTACAACCAGGCTCCCAAGCAAAGAAAGCATTAACGTAGCTGATGAAGAGGTTATTTCAGCGTTAGCAGAGAATTGTAGAAGCTCTGAAAGCTGGTCTCTCAAAAAGCAGAGTGGAACAGGACATGAGGACGACAGGATTATAGTGGATATAACAACTGATGGCACACACTAAAGTGTTGTATGTTAGGATAAAGGCATGCACTTATATTTTTCTGTATGTCAGTGCAACATTTTATGTACATAAAGGCCTTTTGTGTCTTCTTTCTACTCAAAAAAATGAATCTTAATGCAGTTAACTCTAAAAAACCTAAAGCCACAGCAGCAAGAACTGTCTGGCTTCAGTTGCTCTAGCAACTGGTTGGAAATGGAATCCTGAAGAGGTGCCTCACTTAGCTCATTCAGCACTCACAGAAAGGTTATTATAGCACAGCTGCAGCAGTCTTACCACAAACAAACCTACGTGAAACAAACGCACAAAACAAATGTACCACTAGGGAAGTGGTAAAATGTTGCACAGCAGTTCTTCATAGAATTTATGAATAGCTGCGGGAAATGAACGCATATAGAGGCACATCCCATCACTGGTACAGCAATGCTCTCTTCAGCATGCAAAGACGATCTTTACATGGTAAGCTCACTTCAGTGCTATATACTGTGCGCTGAAGTGTTTGGCAGCAGCAAGAGAGACAGTGAGATCTTGTCTGTCCACGGTAAAAGAGACAACTGGACGCTATTATAAAAAAACTATATCAATTACAGTGTGCAGAATAGGCAGTGGAGGCGAAGGATTAGAAATTGTGATCAGACAATAAGCGATTTCCTTGACAGCCAACCACCTGACCTGGCATAGTGGTTCAGTACTCAGCGGGAAGCAACAGAGCTCACTGTGCTTCTGGAAGTTAGTGTACATGAAGCAAATGAGAGGTAGAAGCATAGATCTACTGACCTAGCAGCCGATGATGAATGGTGAGAGGGGATGGAAGCGGGGTGCTGTTGATTTGAGACCTATTCACAGTTCTGTGAGAGAAATAAAGAAACCGGGCTTGTACTGTACGGGGAAGAAAAACGCCACAGCAGCCCACTCTGTTTTTTTTTCTCTTTTCTTTGTTCTTAAAATGAGGTTGCCATGGTCCTTCGTCCTATTGCCATGTTTTTTTCCCTGTCACTGGATGGCCACTGGCTGGGGTGGCTGCTGGGTAGCAGTGATTAGAGAGAGGCTGAATGAATGCAGCTCTGGCTGAGGGGTGATATGACCGCTGAACAGATACAGTGCAGCAGAAAATTCAGCATGAAGGAATAAAATCTACCACAGAACGTCACATAGGTGTCGATGTAAATCCCAGCCTCAGAAGGATAAAAAGTTATTCTGCCAGAACAAAATCAATTACTGTGTGGACATGGGATAGAAATACATGTTTCTCGCTCTCTAGTCAGATACAGCTTGTATCTCTCAACCATGTGTCTAGTGCACAGTCTGTTTTTTGCGCTCAAATGTGAAGTAGAGTGCCCTGACAAACCAAGTCTGGTGACCACAGAACAATTGTTTCTGTCTCTGTACTTTGTGTGTTTACAATGTGCACCGCTGACCTGATTGGATGAAAGTGGCAGCACTTCCATGTTGCATTTTATGTAGTCGGACATTCTTTAAAGGAGACATCATGTTTACTTATTTGTTCATGTATTTATTCAAAATCTGAACACCATACACATTAAACAACATCTGTGTTTCAGGCTGCATGTATCACCCGGTCGAGCTGTACTCTGGCCGTAACACATGGGGCTCCTATCCTGCTGGAGGACCTAACAGAGGACAATGGGCTCCTGTAAATGGTCGCCCCTGGAGCCACACACAAAGGTGCACAATCACAACAGTCACACACACACAGTGTTACCTTTTTATTTCTAAAAGGAAAGAAGTCCATTCTCAGGGGAATGCATATCATTTCAGATGCAGTGGATATAGCCTCTTATTGTATACTGTATTTACTCCCTAATGTAGTTTTTCTCATTTCTTAACTGATCATAAAACCAAGACTTTCAAAACTTTAACCTTCATTGCAGTCAAAGGGGACATTGATGTCTGTAACAGTTAAGAAAGCAGATACAATAAAAATCCAACTGACACCTAGATACGTAGTTGGGGAAAAAATGGCCGAAGCCCTCCTGAAAAGAACTGAAACTCAGTGGGAGTGGTTAGTGGGACAGCTTGAACTTCCCCAACAAGGGTCATTCTAGCAGGTGGGACTCCAGCCTTTGTTGTCTAGGTTGATGCAAGATAAGCACCACTTTAAGGGACTGACTGATGAACTGAAACTGTGATGAGAATATTCATGAAAAGCTCTCACTTCAGCTGCAGCTGTGAGCGTGAGCCCATCTGCAGTTTAAACAAGCAGGACTCTGGTGGATGAAACTAAAACTTCTCCAGCTGAGAGAAGCCTCAATCTGACCATACAGCTGCAGCAGCTCATTAATATGACTGTCTTTGTAGCTGTATCTGGTTGTCGTTTTGGCAATAGCAACAACTGTGACTCTGATAAAGAGGTGTGACTCCCCAACACTGTATAAACAACTAAACAATAAATAATTATTATTACCATATCAAAATGTAATCCAATCCAGCAGAGAAACAGTGAACAGTCTCCTTTCAATGTGAAATTAAAGACCTATTAAAGATATTAAGTAAGATAATATTAAAAAAGATTATGCTAAAAGTTGCTAAAAACAGATGACCCTGAAGTTCAGTCTCAATTTTGAGTGTTGCAAATTTAGCAATCATCAACCTTTGATTAAGACCTTCAAAGAAACCACAGAGAAACTGATGACTTCAATCTGACTTCAAGACCACTAGCAACAAGATTCAGAGCTCCCAGAATTGTTTTATTCTCACATTAGCGGTATGTTTTCTTTCATTACTACAGATGCCAAGAAGGCCGCAATCAGTCACATCATCCCCCATCAAGTCGTCTATTTAATAGGTGAGTAGAACAGTGTAAACATCATTCTTACACTGTAAATATATTGCTTATAGCGCAGATAATTTATGTACGGCAATGCATCTGTTACAGAAAACACTTGCATTAATAAAGTGTAGCTTTTTAAGACAGTTGCAGAGCCAACCTCACTTGTACTTGCCACACGCAGCAGAACAGTACAACTCTTGATTCCATGGATATGTATATTCCCTTGGTGTACGAAATACCATTTGTGCCCTCCATCATTGTTTACAGTATGTGTTGCTTAGTTGAGTTGGTCTTTTGCTTAGGGGGGAGAGAACAGTCAGCCATGTCCAGGACAAGGGTATCTCTAAGGGTCACAGGCAGCCTCTACGCCTCTGGGATGGTAAAGAGCGGCCCTTTGAGGCCCAGAACTGGCATCACAACTCCGCACGCTCATTCCACAACCGTGCTGGCACCAACAACGGTTATCTAACAGGACCAGGAGAGCGCCACGGAAACTGGGACAACAATGTCAGCAACTCTGTGGTGAGACCTGCAGACAAGAACAACATTGCTTTCAAAAGAGTTCATGTTGTTATTGGAACTAGAAATGTGTCATTGTTTGTCCTTTTTCTCTTTTTTGACTGTTAGCATGGGGGTCCTCGCCTGCATCGCAACAACAGAGAACTCCAGACCCCACCAGAGAGATGGGCCCCCTCAGACAGGAGCTTTCCAGGCCGAATGATGAACAACAAACCAGGACCCTGGAAACGGCCAACCCCCCACCAGCGGCGAGACCAGCTACACCAGCACAGTCCACTTCCACAGCACCCTTTATCCCCTAGGAAAGAGTGTCCAGCCAAGAGGAGAAGGGACTCTGGCCCCGACCTGGTATAGTTTGTTGGTTTAGCACAACAAACTTTGATTCTAGTATTCTAGCATGACAGCATGTTTTTGCTTCTCTGTTTAGCCATCTCACCCAGGATCAAGGCATTTACCTTTACTTGTCCGTGCCCTGTCACCACCTCGCCATCACCGCTGCAACCAAGATGACTGGAAGCCTCCTAATGACAGGGGGGGTCCTTGCCACCTCTCTGACCACAGGACCTCAACAACACAGCAACAGGTAAGCCTAGAATCCTTACATGAATACTAAATACGGATGTCTATTAATGGTTTTGAAATTTGCAGGAAACCTCTAAACTGCGAGCTGGAGGACATGGCTTCAGTAACAGTAACCTAGCAGGTCTAAACCAGAGTTCTGGCAGCAGACCTACACATCATGGAAGCAGAGGGAAGGCAGACCGGAAAATCTCGTCTTCACCAGCAGACCACACCCGTGTGCCTTACAGCCACCAAAACCATAATTACCACTATCAACGGCACACAGGCCACCCCAGAGCCCTACAGCACAACACAACGCTACACCCTCATGAGGAAAAGGACTCACGGAGCCATCACCACAAACAAAGCACAGTGAGAAATGCATGATATCTATCTGTTTTTTCAGATTCATCCAAGTTCTCTATTACACTCTGTACATTTACTAAATAGGTGTAATGTGTCCAAATAAATTTTTCTCTACCTTTCTTCATCTCAAAACTGTTTTTCTGACATTGCATCAGGCCTAAGTTTCTATTAATCTTATTATTAATGTGAGTATAACAGTGTGTATATATACAGTATATGGTTCTATGCAATTGAGTGTCCTACCCTTCAACAAAAGTCTAAACGGATATAATGCTAACTCTGCAGGAACCTCAGCGCACTCATCAAAGGGGAAATTCAAGGGATCCAGCCCTCTCCAAGTCTTTTGGTGCAGACTCTCCCCCCTATTCATCCCTCCTGTGCATTCCTAAAGATGGAGGCTCTACTGCCAGCAGTCCACGTACCCCTTCCAGTCCGTCTTCATACACGGTGGCCAGTGGCAGAAAAGATCCATCAATTATTCATCAGTGTAGTCCTAGCCTCAGTGGACAGCAGAACCTCCAGGGAAGCCCTAATCATGCCCCGAGAGCTTGCCTGACATCTGCCACATCACTTACATCTCACGCCGGTCCAAAATCCAGACTTTCAGACGTCAAAAACAGAAAGGCCCTCTGCTCACGACTGTCCCCCCACAGCAGATCAAGGGCAAAAAAGCCTGAGATGGAGCTGGAAGAACACAAAAAAACTGATAAGCTGGTGAAAAAGGAGAGAAAGAGTGAAGAAAGAAAAAGGCGGAAGAAAAAGGAGGAAAAAAGGTTGGCAGAGAGAAAAAAGAAGAGGGATAAAGCAGCAAAGAAGGAAAGAAAGTTAGGCTTGAAAACTAAAGTCACGGAAGAGGAAATGTTTACTTCCATCTCTACTTCCAGCTCTTCAGGAGAGGCCAAATTGAGCGAAATGGAGACTACAACTCTTTACCCAGAGACCCAGGGCCAGTCACCACCCAAACGCAAGCACAGGGTGAGGAGTGAACGAGCAGGGAGGACACACAGGCCATCCACAAATACTCCTCTTCCCAGCTACACTTCACCACTGCCATCCTCAAAATCTGAAAGTCACAGGAGTCCCCCACAACTCCCTGTAAAGGAACAGAAACTAAAACAGTTTCTTTCGAAGAACACCAGCCCTAGCCAGACCAGAACCAGACCAAAAGCAAAGCCTGATGATACACTCCCCTCCCTTTTATGTAAAGCCTTAGCCCCTCTCAGTACAGCATGTTCTGTTAGCTCAGAGCAGCCCATCCGTGGTCATGAAGATGGGCAGGGAGGGGTTCTCAATGCCCCAGACCTACAGCCTGTGGCCGTGATGGGATGTTTGAGGGAAATGGGAGACAGTCTTGCGAATACCCCTCCTGTTCTCAGCTGGCAGGGCTCTCCAGTGTCATCTCTGGGAGAAGATGAGGAGGAGCTAGAAAGGGGAGTGATAAGTAGACCTGTCCTCCAGCCCAGCCCCACACAGTGCATCTCTCCTCTTCCCGTCAACAGTGAGAGCATTGATGATATGAATAAGGAGCTTTGTGAAAGTACACTGGCTGATTATTCTCACAATGGCATGTCTGAAATCTTTGATCCACCTTGTATAATTGAACCGGTTTCTGAGGAAGAAAATGAAGAAGAGGTGGACAGCAGCGGGGAAGCTTCTGGCTCTCTCCTTCATGAGCTTCGCCACCATGACACAGGTTTGGATGATGTCTTCAAGAGCCTGGCCACCTTTCTCGGAGGCCAGAGGATGACATGTCGAGGCGGTCCGTTTGGGGGGCCTCCTGCTGGCACCACTAGAGGAGTGAAGTACTCCTCCTCTCTTGCATTGGGGCCAGAGATCCACTGTCATGAGGATCAGGATTTTTCCCCCAGATCAGATCCCACTGCATCCTCCAAACCCGGTAATCAATCACCTACCTCAGACACACTTCTGAAACCCCAAAGTCTGGATGCCCTGGTGCAGGAGAAGCAGGAAGCAATTGAGAAAGACATAAATTCGAAACAAGAGAGTAAGGTCATGGAGATCCTCACTGAGAGAGCCGAGTCATCTCTTTTGGATGGGTCACTGAGTGCAAAGCTGAGACTGACCACAACACATACAGCCTCTTTCACCAGCCTCATTACTGTGTCCACCAAGGAAGAGAGAGGAAAGGGCAAAGAGGCCGAACACACAGACGCAGACAGAAAAAGAATTCAAAAGACCAAGGATGGAGGAAGAGAAGGGGAGATCAAGATTAAGATAAAGACGAAAGAAAGCAGTGTCACCTGTCCTAAAAACAAAGCAAAAGAAATAAGGGATTTGGAAAAAACGGATGTTTCATCCTCAGTGCTCATCATGTCCAGAAATTCACCCACACCTCTCACAGATATTACTAAGGGCCAGGGTCCTCAGGAAAATCCAACCCCACATGGCAAAGACATCCAGAGAGAAAAAGCAGACACTGGAGACGCTGAGGTAAAGATAATAATAGAGAAGAAGGAAGATGTTGGTGCGTTAGAACATAAGATATCCTCAGAAGCCACAAACACAAATACAGAGACCTCAAGCTCAGTGTCACCTTTAACAGTCAATAAATCCAAATTGTGTGCGTCCACAACAGCAAGTAAGCCTCCCTGCTCATTAGCTCCGGTTGACCCACTAAAACTGAAAGCGTTGTCCATGGGTTTGTGTAAGGAGCTAAAGATCCTCTTAATTAAAATGGAGAGTGCTGGAAGACAAACATTCAACATTTCAGAGGTGGAGGAGCAAAGAATCCCGCTTTCCACGATCTGCATCAAAAACACAGCCACTGAAGTGATCAAAGCTTGCAAGTGAGTACTCAAAGAGACAAATTGACCTTTGGTCTGGGCCTCTCCTTAAACTAGGTGTAGTAGGTTTTACATCAAGCTGCTCCTCATGATGCATTTTGTCTCTTTTTGTCATCTTTTTCCAGGGGGACCAGAGTGAAGGGACAATTCAAGGAGTCGTACCTGCTTCCCGCCTTCTCTGTTAAACCTAATATTGCCATTGCAATCCCCATTCCTCGAGAAAAGCTTAACCCTCCTACGCCAAGCATCTATGTGAGTGCAGATAGGCTGGTATAATCAAAAGGATCCAACCGAAGTAAAATCATCAAGTTCTGAATTCAAAAAACTAGTTTTTAGCCTTGCACAAGTGGTTCTAGGGGTGGCAGCAGGCCCACCACTTTGCTCCTGAAGTGTCTCGATCGGTTTGATGGATTGGCACAATATTTGGTACAGATGTTCATGTTGCCATCAGGACGAATTGTAAGGCCTATAGTGATCCCTTAACCTTTCATCGACTGCCAAAATTTGATTTAGTCTAATACTTTGGTTTATGACTGATAAATACTCGCAAAACTTAAGACATTCCCATCAGCCACAGCTGTACATTGTGTTTAGTGCTAACTAGCAAATGTTAGCATGCTGACACGATAAACTAAGATGGTGAACATGGTCAACATTATAAAACATAATAAATATAATATATATAAATATAACATCAGCACGCTAGTATTATACTTGGGAGCATGTTAGCATGCTGATGTTAGCATTTAGCTCAAAGCGCAGCTGTGCCAAAGCACAGCCTCACAGAGCCCGTAGTATGGCTGCAGACTCTTAGTCTTGTTCTTATATGAATAAAGGACTTCACCACCATAACTCTTTGAATTACTTGAAATCACTTGAATTATTTCTTGGATCGTTTCTCGATAGCAGCAGAGAGAGCTGCCTTATCATACCTTGTTTCAAGACATCAACAGGTTTCCAACGTACTGTCAGTATTTTTCATTCGTTTTCAAGATTCAAAATTTTTTTCTTTGCTACGTTCAGATGTTCATAATAGTGTTTCTTCCACAGTTGGAGAGCAAGAGGGATGCCTTCTCTCCAGTTCTGCTTCAGTTCTGTACGGATCCCAAAAACGCTGTGACTGTTATTAGAGGACTTGCTGGCTCCCTCCGCCTTAGTAAGTTTATACACATTTATCTCAACTAAATGACCCCAGTCCTATTAAGTCCAACAGAATTTAACAAATTCCACTCACCCTCAATGGTTTTTTGGTGATTAGTACACATTGTAATTAATTAGGGCCTTTTGTTTATTGTTTTGTGAAAATTGTCGTGCAAGGACCAGGGAAAGAGAAAGCGAAAGGAAAGGAGGGATTGATTATTCAGATAAAAATGTAGATTATCCTACAACTGTGGGGTTTATTTAGGTAAAGTGGATATTTTACACATGACATTTGATATTTTTGGTTATTTCTGCACTGATAACATGTGAAGTCAATCTTTCAGCTCTCTGGGCACCATGTATGAGAGCTGCATCTGTCATAATCATTGTGAGAACAATCTGCAAATGCAGGGTTGCGCAGTACAATTGCTGCCCCCCTTCATGAGTCACATAATGTGCTTCTGCGTAATGAGTACTGTAGGCACTATTGATTTAAATCGCTAATGTATATTTTTCGTAAGAGCTCATGTGAACAAAAATGGAAAGCCAGCCAGATCTGACAAACAATGCAAAGACTGTCGGTTCTAAGAAGTGTTATGTCTTGACAAACTCTGTATAGTCTGCCAATAGGGAAGCATGTGTCCATATTTGAATGCAGACCATGTGTGATCAACCGTGACTATACTGGAGGATTGTTGCTTTGAATTCATTTGCATAATTCATTGTGTATATTTTAACTTATCATCCAGTATACTTAAACTAATCTTATTTGTATTCCTACACTTTTTTTTCTCCATGTCATACTCCATGCCGTATAAAATATGTAAAGCTTAGTGAGAAAATAAATAAATGAATGCAAAATAACTGAGATAACAACCACTTTTTGAGTATTTGAAAATCAAAATGCATTGAGAAATCTCAAAGCCTAAGCCCAAAATTGAAAAAATACAAAGAGTTTGGAAATTCTTATTTATCTGATAATTATCTCTTGCTCTCTGCTTTCTCTTCCCTATGTGAGATCTTGGTTTGTTCTCCACTAAATCCTTGGTGGAGGCCAATGCGGAGCATGCAGTGGAAGTGAGGACGCAGGTTCAGCAGCCCGCTGATGAGAATTGGGATCCCAGTGGTTCGGCACAGGCGTGGCCCTGTGAAAGCAGCCGCTCACACACCACCATCGCCAAATACGCCCAGTACCAGGCCTCCAGCTTCCAGGAGAGCCTGCAGGTAGACATTTTCCCGGCAAACACATGTGCACACAAAGGGCTTGATAATTATTCTTCAGTATAGTTGACGGCATTATTAATTGACTTACACCAGCCTGTATTGCAACTTTCATCCAAATGGAATTAAAAACCAGAAATGCTTGCTTTATAGATATAGGGCCTCATCTAGGACCCACTCGTACAAACAGTTTGTTCTTATGTGACATGTGTGAACAATTTCAGAAAATTTGTGGTATTTACCAATCACCATGTTCTTGTACTTTTATACAATTGTACAATCTTTTATAACTTTCTCCTAGGTACAAATTAAATTCATGAGGGGTCCAGACCTGTTGTTTGAGTCATATAAAGATAGTCTGCCGTTCTTCACAGGGCACAAAGCACACATTTTATCAGAACTCATAACGCCTGAACTCCTAAATTTGGTTTAGTTTAAATATGATACCAAAATTAACTAAATACAATATTCTAGTCACCATATCATCATGATCATCATCATCATCATGGCTTGCCAATTTAGTTTTTATGATTTTAATTTGCATATCTCAGCACAGTTGTTTGGAAAATTCTCTGACTCTGTCTGCTGCCTCAGGCTCTTTATGATCCTCTGTTGCACCCGACAGTGTAACATCACCTACTGTAGGCTATAATATTCTTATGTCTTATATCTCTGTGACCGTCACATCCACCTTGACCCCCTCTCATATCATTTTTTTAGCATGTAATTTCATGTCAAATATGTTGTCTTCATTTCTGTCAAGAGAGAGTCTTCTTTTGACTCTTGGCTAACATTTTTATGAATGAAACCCACAGTCAGAGAGGAACAGATATATTGTGTAAATATTGTTGCATGAGGCCCATTGTACACGACAAATAGCACTACAGGATAAATATAATATACACTACCTGATGGTTTTCTTAGTTAAATAACAATTAGCTGAAAATCTTAGATGTGTGATACTTTCAGGAGGTTTCAGTATATTGTTTTTGTAGCTGAAACTATAATCAACACATATATTTTCAATACAATAATTTCAACTCCTTGCACCATAGCAGTCAGTTATTAAACATTCCTCCTATAATCCTGCAAATTTAGAGCATTTTTCCATAGAAAATCAAAGCAAGCACACTAGCATTTACTAAAGTAACTCTTCAAGATGTATACATGTTTTAATACATTGTCAGCGGTTACGAGAGTATGGACCTCCAAAGTGAACTATGTAATGATGCATCTGTTTTTAGCTGTTGGCCAACCTGTCAGCTAAGCTCATGTAGATGTGTTATAGGAGGAGAAGGAGAGTGAGAATGAAGAGGAAGAAGAGCGGGCCTCAGAGCCACCAGCCAACACAAAAGCTGTTCTGACATTAGCCAACAGTAAAGCCAGTTCGTCTCCCATCTTCAGCAAAGCCCCACCTGCCACCGGCACACCCAGGTCAGTACAAAACTGTGACCTGTGTATGAGGAATTCACTGTTTTGCTGACTTAGCAATTCTAATCTCAGACGTTGTTCCTTTCCCCAGCTCGGAGCAGAAAACTGTTGGAAAGATCATTAAATTTGGGACCAATATTGATCTCTCTGACCCTAAAAGGTGAGATTTTGTTATAAAATTCTGCCTGGTGAGTTCACTGAGGGTCCTTGTCATTTCACATTGCCTATAAAAATTTTTTTCATAAGGTGGAAGCCCCAGCTGCAGGAGCTGCTCAAGCTGCCAGCTTTCATGCGTGTGGAATCCAGCAACAACATGCTCAGTCACGTCGGTCACACCATCCTGGGCATGAACACTGTCCAGCTCTATATGAAGGTGCCAGGCAGCCGCACGCCAGGTCAGTGTGTGTCTGACACCACAGTTAGGATTTAGTGATCCTCTGACTTTAGAAGTGGTCCTTTTTTGTAATGTTTCAAAGAATAGACGTTTTTGAATTAAAACACTTATTCCTGCATTTCCCATCAGGCCATCAAGAGAACAACAACTTCTGCTCGGTCAACATAAATATCGGGCCTGGGGACTGTGAGTGGTTTGCTGTCCACGAGCACTACTGGGAGGCCATTAACAAATTCTGTGAGAAGTGAGTGACGCGGCTGTTAGCTTTAACAAAAGATGCAGAAATAAGCTACAGTATCTGTGCGTGCTAAAAATTGCATTGTTACAAACATGCTTCCTGCAGGCACGGAGTAGACTACCTTACAGGATCCTGGTGGCCAGTTCTGGAAGACCTCTACAGCTCCAACATTCCTGTGTACCGCTTTATTCAAAGGCCCGGAGACCTTGTGTGGATTAATGCAGGGACTGTACACTGGGTCCAGGCGGTGGGCTGGTGCAACAACATCGCCTGGAATGTGGGACCACTCAACTGTAAGTTGCAACTAGGACCAAACAAAGAGGAGAAAAACAGCAGCTGAAAACTTGCTAGTCACAGGCTTTTCTTTGTCTCAAATGCTGCCTACTTCCAGCCTCACCACTGTTTATGTGTTTTTGCTCTGGCAGCCTACCAATATCAACTCGCCCTGGAGCGCTTTGAGTGGAATGAGGTGAAGAAGGTTAAGTCAATCGTTCCCATGATCCACGTTTCCTGGAATGTGGCTCGCACCATCAAGATCAACGACCAGGATACCTTCAAGATGATCAAGTAAGATGCCTCTCTGTGCGCGTCTGTGTATGTTGAGTGTGCGTTTGTTTACATCTGTCGCTATCCGCTCCTCTGTCTCACTCAGACACTGCCTGATGCAGTCCATGAAGCACATCCAAATTCTGCGAGACCAGCTGGTTGCTGCAGGGAAGAAGATCTGTTACCAGAGTCGTGTGAAGGACGAGCCAGCCTACTACTGCAATGAGTGCGACGTGAGTGCCTCGTCCCCTGACGTCGCTGTCTGTCCATACAGACAAACTGTGCTTTTGTGTATGACATGGATGATGTGTGTCTATGCAGGTGGAGGTGTTCGACCTTCTGTTTGTGACCAGTGAGAACAGCAGTAAGAAGTGCTACGTGGTGCACTGTGAGCACTGTGCCCGGGCCAAGAGCCCATCACTGGCAGGGGTAGTGGTGCTGGAACAGTATCGGATAGAGGAGCTGATGAAGACCTACGACAGTTTCATGCTGGTCAGTCTCTCTTTCTTTCTTCTGAGTACAAACAGGGCTCCATATTGCTTCCTTCATAAAACAGTGTTAATTCTTCTATATTGCTTGTCTATATCTATAAGTGCAGGGCTGCAAGCAAAATTAAACGAAGTATTAAAAATTACATATCAGATGTGCCAAAAACATGAAATCATAACTCAGATGAGGTAAAGAACACTGATTTTGCATGTTTTAGTCCATTATCTAGTTTTTATGCTTACTTTACATTACTCTAGGCCATTTTCCAGAGAGTTTTTGGTCAGTGGAATCATTCCTTCTCCTGTCTGTACTAGTTGAGAAGAAATATAAATCTAATGGAAATGAATAACACAAATCAAGTGGCTAGTACCACAAAGAGTGAATTCAATAAAAAAAAAACATCAGCTGAACTTTAGAATTTAGCTTTTTTACACAAAATCTTGTGGAATTTTTATTAGGAGGGGATCGCTTTTCGACTAGCATGAACAGGAGGAATGATTACAGAGACCAAAAACTGTTTCAATGTACAGATTTTGAGCCAGCAAGAAACAGCAACTCTTTTTAATTGAAGAAACTGCATTTCATCCTTTAACAATATTGACGCTTGCCTTTGTTTGCTTTCCTTTTTGGTAGCAAACGATAACATTTACCACACTACAGAAGGAGATTTTTTCAAAACTGCCTCTGTCAAACACTGTGGTGGATTACCTTTCCATAGCAAATTGAAAGTGGATTTTCATACCCCTTTGCTCATAAAGATGATGTGTAGTTAACATGCTTAAACATACAAAACCACAAGTGTGCCTCTTTACCTGATGGCTGCATTAAGATCTGTTAAATACATACGTGATAAAGCATACAGTATATCATCCATTCTCACATGATTTTTAGGTTCGAGTTTGTGTTGGAGTCAAAAAGTTCATTTAAACTTCACAATGATGCCGTTCATGCCGGAAAGCATACTTAACCATGAGCCACGTATGTGTTTTGTGCATATTAGATATTGTGTAGATGCGCTGTTTCCATTGTTTCTAATTGTTTGCATATCACAACTTCATGTGCAGACACACGCACAGACACACACAGCTTTGTCACGTGGCCATTTGAGCTCTGTCTCTTCCACTTTTTCTTCCCCCTCCAGGCTCCATCACCCTTTTCAAAGTGAGGACTCCTCGCTGGTGTCGTTCAGCCATAACCAAAACTCTAATGGCAGCACAAATGTTGTCTTCAAGGCAATCTATTCCTGAAAAACACTCTCTGAATCAGCCAATCACGTTTACTCAGTATTGTTTACATCACACAATAAGGTATGGATACTCAACCAATCCAACTATAGCTCACTGTCTTCCCCATACCAGCTGCCGATTGGACGTGTGTTTTGAAATAGAATGACTAGACTGGTACTTCTCATGAAAAGCATTTCAGATGTGTACGAAAAAAGGAAAAAAAAAAAATAATGTGAGCACTGCTAGCACTGAAAATCAGGTTATATGTTCAACGGACTCAGCTGTGATTCAAAAGCGTCAAGTAGCCGGTTCTGTGTATTAATTCAGGTACTTTTATGCAAATTCAGTAGAACTTTTTTACACCAATCTAGTTATTCTATATGTCCATGAATTTGCTGTGATTCTGTTGTACCAGCAGGGGAATGGCTTCACAGGAGAAGTAGCTGATTGTCACATTTGGCATTGTATTGGTTCCTGTTTTTGTTTGGTATTCAGGTGAACTCTGACACTTGTAATTCCTGTCTGTATACTCTTTGAGGTGCTATTCCAATCTTATTTATTCTCGTTAGATACTTAAAAAGTTTTACCAGCCTAGAAGTACACCACATTGGCCTTGCAAACAGTATTTAGAGGAGAGGTAATTAGTGGTTTAAACACACACAAATAAGGTTTTATGTAAGTGTTAAAAAAAACAATCAAAAACTTTTATCAGTTTCTCTAAAATACGGGTTTACTAGAGGACTAATATGGCTTCATTCTTAGTTGGAAATCAAGTATGTAGATGGAAAAGTTGCTCTTTTGTTTTGCTTGTTTTTTCACAAGTCCAGCTAAATAGTTGTTGGTGTGGTTTCTTTGATACACCCAGAAAACAGACATACTTTGTTTTTTTTATCTTTGGAATGGGATAACAATCCCAGTTTTATACCTCTTTGTTGCTATGTTCTTGTTTCTAGATGACAGAGAAAATAAATTGTAAATTGTGAATGAATTTATGGGATACACAGTGGTGTGCATAGACGTGGTACAGAGAAGGGGAAGTTACCATTGATGTTTGTTTCAATGAAGTGCCCGTTACAGTCTGCAAAAAGTAATATGTCCAAAGAGACACACAATCATAATCTTTGTAATGCAAAAGCCAATGAGGGCAAGCAGATGACAGGACTGAAGGGCACCTCTGAGTTTTCATTTTGCCCCAAACATTCGTCCTGATGAGGCTCATGCACTGCCAGGGGGTTTAGTCTAGTATTTCCAGTTTTAATATGTTGAAGAGCACATGAATTGAGACATGACAAGAAAGGCCCAGTCATCATTTTTAAAAAAACAACATTTACACAGTCCTTCAATAAATGGTCTCATTTTGGTGAGGTTTAGTCCAACCTTTGGCTTTAAATGTTATCATAATGCAAGGGTAGCAAACCGTATACAGCTTCAGAGCAGAGCCTGACCGATACTGGATTTCTGAGGCCGGTACTGAGATTGTTATTTGAGAGTTTAAACAAATCCAATAACAATACATCGACCAATAGCATTTTTTCCCCAAAAAACACACAAAGTAAGCAATTTTTATATGGATCACTTATATTCGCTTTTTAAAAGAAAAGAATAATTGACCAAAATACATACACTGTATTTTACAGTGTAACTTGTCAGTGCATTCTGGTTGACAAGCATACTGCTTCTAAATGCATCAGACTTGTTTGGCATTTCTATACTGCAATTTCTTTTTACTTATCAGCCAACATACACACATACCTGCAATAAGCTAATATTGGACGATATATCGGCCTGGCCATTATCAGTCTAGCTCTGCTTCAAAAGCTTTGGTTCCTACTTAAAATCTGATTATCACTTATCATCACCTACCATTTAAATGGATGTTCAGCATCACTGCTCTACAATCATTCTGATTAAATCCTCACTAATGACATTTTTACCCCTGCCCTCATCAGTCTCTGCACACCATTTAATGTACATAAGGTATCAATTTTCAGGTTTACTAGAAGACTTATGTAGTTTTTCTCAATCGAAAATCTAATTTGTATATGGTCAAATTTGTCCACTTCAGTCACTTGTTTTTGTTGTTGCTGTATTATAATACACCCTAAAAATATCCTGTTTTACTCTAGTTAAAATTACTGCAATGGGAATTTCTTCCCACTTTTATACCTCTTTTTGTTGTCAGTTTCTGGTTTTTGGATTACAGAGAAAATGGAAAATTGTAAATTGTGACATTATTTATACTGTACATGGTTGTTTTCCTATATATTTATTGCATATCAAATGGTACTTCACTTGATAAGGGGCTACAAGGTATTTTAAATGTAGTATGGTCATAATGTGCGGATAGGGGAAGTGCAATCAGGGGGTGGTTTAATTTTCATGGTGCTAGACCCCTCCTTGCCTCTATGCCCCCCCCATTAAACAGCATAATGATGTATGAACATGAGTCAGTTGTACAACTCAAACCAACCGGTTGGTGCTTAGAACCATTTCACCACAATTACTTGTAACAAGAATGGAATGATGTCTTTGTACTGTATCTAACAGATAAGATCTTTTAAACCTTTTTTGCTCCATTGTATGAAATGCATAATCTTGTGAGGCATTAGTGGTTTTATGATGAGCATTAGAAGTAGTTGTAATTCTTGACACTTTTGCAGAGACTTTTAGGGATGTGACATTTAATGACGTCAAAGTTTTGTTTTTTTTGTGTGTCTTGTCCTCATTATTAGTATTATTTGAAGGGTGTAATAATGCTCTCTTTCCTCTCGACTTGTTTGATTTATGCTGCACTGTTGTTTCAAAAAGAACTTGCATAGAAGAAACCCTGAGCCAGACCTGTCTTAAATCCCTCTGTGATTTTTCTGTGACATATTGTATTGTTGTTCAAGAAAATAAAATGTTTTGATAAATTATTCAACAATCAGTCTCTGCCTTTGATTTCCTCTCTAGTTCTCACCAGTTGCCTTCTGGTGTGGAGAGTTAGACTGATACAGTCCTACCTGCAGGTATCCAGGTACGCTCAAAATCATATGCTGGATGGGAGTTTGATCTGTTATCAGCTCCTGAGGACGTAGAGGTGGTTCGCCATCAATTGGAAAGATGGAATGTGAGCAACATTTCTTCCTCTTTCACCGTTGATTGTAGCACATTTCCTGCATGATTCTATATAATTCTGCATATTGTTTCTCATACAGGGCATGAACAGTATCTTACAAAAGTGAGTACACCCCTCACGTTTTTGTAAATATTTGATTATATCTTTTTATGTGACAACACTGAAGAAATGACACTTTGCTACAGTGTAAATTAGTGAGTGCTTGTATAACAGTGTAAAGTTGCTGTCCCTATAAAATAACACATCACACAGCCTCTGATTACACCCCTAAGTGAAAATGTCCAAATTGAGCCCAAAGTGTCAATATGTGGCCACCATTATTTTCCAGCACTGCCTTAACCATCTTGGGCATTAGTTCACCAGAGCTTCACAGGTTGTCACTGGATTCCTCTTCCACTCCTCTATGACGACATTGTAGCAAAGTGTCATTTCAGTGAAAATATATCATCAAATATCTACAAAAATGTGAGGGGTGTACTCACTTCTGTGAGATACTGCATATGTGTTCTGAGACAGACATATTTAGCCCGACTTCATAACTACTTGATAGGCATAAAACTATCTTCTGTGTGAATGGCCTGTGAAAGGGTTGGCGTACTCTGCTTTGTGTAGTAACCATAGACTGTAGAAAATAGGTAGTAATGTAGGTTTCCAGCAACACTGTTTTACTTGAAGATCAGATCTCTACAGATAACTACAAATAAATTAAGCTTTTAGTTTTTTATTACTTTTTTACAATATTGTATATCAGGACTCTGTGTTTTTGCACTCTTGTATTTACCATTATTGTTGTAATATAAATCTATCCGTCTAACAGTAACTGCATGTGCATGTATACTAGGTGAGTCAAAATTAGCTGACAATTCTTAAGCTCCTTGCTCTTTTTGTGGTGACATCCAGTAGATCAGTTGCAGCTGCCCTTTGGTCACAGTCTGCAGCTGATGGCCACTGGGGGGCTCCACTGGACCAGCTTGCTGAAGGCTACCTTCAGAGTTTAAGTTGAGGGAGGACAGAGCATTCATTTTCCCTCCAACATTTTCCTGATACCATCTTGTCAAAGCTACAGGCTGCAGCTGCTCCATTTTATTAAGAAGGATACTAATCCAAAATAGAAATTAATCTGAATGACATCAAACTACTGAAATCTTTGACAAGTGTGGCCTCATCAAGGTGAGACGCACACATATGGTCATACTGACCCTACAGCTTATGCACTGTCAATGATACAAACTACAATGACATAACTGATATAAACAAACATCCAACTCTTTTTTTAAACATCAAACAGCAGTAATATTCAAGGCACCACATGCAATCAGACTGCCTCATTGTTTTTTCTGTGTAAACCAGAGATTTGCTTTCTTTGCCATTTATTTGTATCTCAACCTCCAGGAATAGAGGACATGGGATTGCCAAAACTGCTGATGCAGGGACATCTCCTCATTGAACATGGACACAGCAGAGGATATCCTGGATCCAAGGACAGGAAGATTGCTCTTCCTCTACCAACTCCCTCAGACATAGACACATATAAACAGCACATCGTGGCATTGTTAATGGCAAAACCAGCCATTGCTGCGCGCTAATGCCATGGACTCTTTGATCATGTCTCCTATATAGTCTCCAGGGAATATATATACAATGGTGTAGTAAAAAGGTGGGATGAAAAAAATGAGACTTCATATCAAAATTCTAATTTCACACTTTCAAGTGAGCCCCTCCGGTGTTTCTTATCAGTCCTGTGGTTGCCAGTTTCCCCCACCAGAGTGCCCCCCCCCCCCGTCATTTCCTTATATTTTCTGAAAGGGGAGCTCTGTTTTTCATCCAAAGGTCAAGGGCCAATCCTCTGTCATTCCTGCTTTTCAGAAAAATCCTAAATAACACTTTTACCTTCCTTTTTTTCAGAGCTCTGTGTTTTAGCAAATTGCTGAGTAGTGCTGACTCATTCAGAGATTGGTGCAAATTATAAATACTTCAGCTCATAGAATAGATCAAAATAAAAATTTTAAAAACTGGTATGAGAAAATGATATAATTTAAATGTTATTAATTATTGACAACAATAATTTCTAATTTGAAAATATTAAATTTCATTCTATACAAATTGACATTATTATTGACAGTTATGGTATAGATAGGTTAGTTCACAATGAGTGTGTAGCTGAACTCAACAGGACGTGCCTCGTGATTCACTTGCATTTAGCCACAGACTGAGATAGGCTAATTGTTAAACTTATATTCTTAACAGTTTAAATCTGGGGATACAAATCTTATTTGAGAATACAATTACTTGCTTACATTAAATAATGTAATTTAGGTATTTCAAATACACAAATACAAGCACTTGTTTTTAAATACATGCAATTGAAATACTAGCCATCTCTGGTCTCACTGTTCAAACCCTCACCAGTACAATATAGTATGATGTGTGTAGCATGGCCTACATCTTATGGAACAGTAAGTCTTAAAACCACAAAATGGGTTTTCTGGCAGTTTTTTTTTTTCTTTAGCACAAATTTCATTATAAATCCAGCTCAGTTGTTTTGAATTTTGAAACCTGCCTTATCAGTATTTGACAGTAGAGTAGAGAAAGTCCTCAGTGAGGGTGAGAAGTGTTGTGGATTGGGCAGCATACCCTACTCCTCTAATCTATCCAAATAAACACCCTCCCTCCTGCACCCTGGTTCAAGGGGTTATCACAGAAACCCCCTCACTGATCCCCTGCCCACACACCAACAGCAGCCTTTAACACAGGCCAGCCTGCTTTCTGTGCGTGCGCATCAGAGGCAACACAGGATACACACACACACACACACACACACACACACACACTTGTGACCACTTACACACTCAATCATATCTCAAACTGGAGTCGGAGTGAGGAAACAGAATGTCAGGGAAGGAAGCACTGAAGTCAGTGGGAAAGCAGAATTTGCCTAAAGTCTGCAGAGCTCATTTCTGACCTATTCTCTACGAGGTCTGAGGATCAAAACAGCAGGCAAATATCTGACAAAAGGAGATTTTTTTTTAGATTTAGTTAGGAAGTAGAAACTCAACCTTCACTTGGACACCACCCTCAATATCTGGATTTTCAAACAGAGAAGACATACATCAGGAGAAAATTCTTGAAATTCTTTGTCCTTGTCCACTCACCGTTCATCAGAGTCCCATCATCTGCTGCCACTTTCGTACTGCAGGGAGGACACATCATCAGGTTTACCACACAGTGAGTACAACAAACTCTATCACCATTTCTTTTTTTAATAAAACCACGTTGAAGGAACAGAAGCATGCCGATCCTGACCCTAACTAAAGGGCTACTTGAATGCTTGCACTACATCATTCTAATGAAAGACCCTGAACACGTTTTTTTTGTTAATCCTGTGATCCTGCAGAGTTAGTTTTAATTTCTAAAGCTGATAAGTCTGGAAATAAGAAGCCTGTATTGATGACGTCATCAAACGGCAAGTGTTTGAGCCGCTCCATGATTGAAAGGCAGACAGACTTTGCTGACCTGTACCTACAAACAGGGCCCCTTTTTAATGAAAGCAATTCAAAAAGTGTTTTTTAGGCCACAGGCTGGTTGGAGAACCTATAAATGGCCTCTTTAAAAGAAAAATCTGAATCTTCTGATTGTTGTTGCCATTTATACAATCCAAAGAAAGGACAATAAACCACAAAAAGATCAATTCCAAAACCTCATTCCCATTCTGATAGTTGTCATACATCCTTGGTTTCCCACTTTGTGACACTGGAAGAGACTTTGTTCATCCTTAAATAGATTGTGTCTAAAATTGTGTATGAATCCTGTTTTAGGGTAGATGTTCTCTTAATGGAGCATCACAAACGAGTGAGCTGATGATGGAAGGGGCTGGTACGAATTTAGTGAACTGTAATGATGTTGGCAGAAATGAAATTAAACATTTGTTGTAAAAACCCATGTGTTCACATGGTACTTGGCATAATAACAGTGTAGTTGCTAACAGAATAATTAAGAACAGAGGGAAGTCATGTAACTCCGCCCTTTTCTCATCACTTTTAATTTGTGACATGGAAATGTTTAGGTCTGTAGCAGTTGTAGCACATTTGTTCTTTCAAAATCTTAACATTGTTCCGACGCTCAGTGATTAGTATTTTTCCAGTTTTTCAGTTGCTCCTGGCTCATTCTTCTGGGTCGTGGTTATCCTGGAGTTTGGAGGAGGGGTCTGTGGAGCCCATTTCCTCGCACTTAGAGCTGTGCAGTTCTGTGTGTTGATTTTCCACACCTTTCACAACATTATTGAATTGATTCACATTTTTTAGCTTTTTTGTATTTTTTAGTGGATAGAGGGAAGAGAAGGTTTAAGTGCAACCTGCGGGAAAAAAATAGATATCATTTTTCAATTATTTAAACACTTAAAAATACTTCATCTCAATACTGTGAAACACAAATTCAGAGTTTCCCCAAGTGTAAACTTTCAGTCCTAACAGTAGGAGTATAAATCCACTGCAGAATATTGGGTAGATTCATTAATTACTGTTTTTCTTTCCTGTAACATAGACCACAAGGAAAATGAGTCTGTCACGGAATGGGACGCTGGGGAAGACAGTATCTGTGCAGGCACCCTCTGAGCAGGGGGCCCCCTCCAGAGTGGGGTCAGGGATCGTGGTGCCGCCTCCATACTCCCTGGGTGACAGCGAAGCCGCTGACACCCCCCTGGAGTTAAGGGGCTCTCTGGACTGCTGGGCATGCTCTGTGCTGGTCACTGCACAGAATCTGATCATAGCACTGATCAACGCCGGGCTGGCCAGCATCGTGTTCGG